TGAGATTGAGACAATAAATTTTGTTTTGAGAGATGATTTACAATGCCATTGGTTACTAAGCTTTCCATTAATTTACATGGAATGGATGTAAGAGAAACTGGTCTTTAATTACTTGATTCATTGATATCACCTTTTTTATTAGTGGAGTAACATTTGCATTATGCCATGCATGAGGAACCAATCTTTCTGATAGTGATTTGTTGAATATAATTGTTAGAGGTAAAGATAGTACTTTAGCACATTGTTTTAATATCATTGGGTGGATATTGTCCGGTCTGGTTGTTTTATTTGGGTTTAAATTTTTTAACTTATTTTTGATATCATCTATTGAAAAATGAAGGCTTGATAAACACTCAGTTGTACAATCTGAAAGTAGTGGACAATCTTTGTTAACTGAATAATTGTTGAAGACTGATTTGAATTGATCATTTAATGTGTCTGCAATAAATCTACCATCTGTCCCAGTAACTCCATATTTATTTTGAATTGATTTGATGCTTTGTTTGATTTTGCGTGAACTATTAGCATAACTAAACAAACGTTTGGGATTTTTTGTATCAAATGCTAAACTATGTTCAAATTTTTTAATAGTTAATCTTTTTTGTACTTGTAAAGAAGATTTAAATTTTTTGTATTGTTCGACAAGCTCAGCTATTTTCCACTTTGAAGATTGATATTTATGCAATAATCTATTTTTTTTTATTTATGAGGTTTAAAAGGGTACAATTGAGCCAAAGAGGTTTGTTTTTATTTTTACATATCACTTTTGGTACAAACATATTTGTTATGTAGTTATAATGATTCATAAATAAGTTGTAACTGTCATTTATATTTAAGTTGCTTAACTCTTTTAACCAATCTATATTTTGAAAACATTTAATGATAGAATTGAAATCCCTTTTATGGTAATTGTATTTGAATGTTAAATAATTTATTTTATCTTCATTACTTGATAAATTATAATTAAATTTTAGTACCAAATGGCCTTGACTAGCTAATCCAAGTGGTGGTAAATTTTCTATGTGTTTAATTTGGTCTGATGATTCAGTTATGACCAGGTCCAATATATTTTTAGGCATTTTATTTTCTTGGATGAATGTTGGAAATGTTACATTTTAAATGATGCTTATATTGTTAATAAGATTTACAACTCTAGCACCAGTTATTTTTTTATTACCATTAACTTGAACAGAACCATCCTCATATCATTTGATGTATGGAAAATTTAAAAATAACACATATGAGTATACCTGTATGTATTTTTCTGTTTAACTCTACTTTTGCTGTTTGTATACTTTGAATTATTTCATCGTCAGCTTGGTTTGACATAATACTTCAGGATGTTCTTCAGGATGACATTATACTTTAGGACTGGGTTTGCAGCTCTGATAGCAAACCCAGCCCTGCTATTTTTTTTCAAACCAAGCCCTGGTCCCGGTCAAATCTCAACCCTGGTCCTTTGCCAAATAATACAATTGAAGCCTTGATGTAAATTTATCATTTTACAATCAAATATACTATTCACAGCTCTCTTAAAATAAGAAAACAAGCAACACCTAAGATACCCCACAATTCAACTAAGTAAAATCAAAAGAATAGAGTTGAGATATATAAGGAACATTTATACATATTCAGAAAAAATCATGAACACTTATTTGAGACAAGTTGGAGACATAATAGCTAATGCTAGTTGAATTGGTAAATGTGAATATCTAAGAACAATAGTAAGATAAGTCTGGTTTGAAAAAAAAAAAAATCTATATTTTTGTCAAAACAGCAGGTGTTGTTCATTTACGATATATGTTAAAAAAGGGGATACCATTATTGGTCAATACTATGCTTGATATTGTTTGAAACCTGTCATACTAAAAAAAAATCAGCAACGGTTGTAACAAGAATTTAAAAGTTATTATCAATTAAAAAAATATTAAAACTGATAGCATGATAACACTTCATTCCAACTTAAAAAAGTGTTTGTAAAGCACTAAAAGCTATTTTGCCATAAATAAGAAAGATAATTTACTCAATTAAAATACATACTGCAGGCTTGGTCGGGAAGCGGGTGCGATCGCACTCGATAATTGACCACGGAAATATTATTTAGTTGCGAAAAACCGGCCAGATTTTTTAGTTGTTTTGAGAACATTTCAAAAACAAGCAAAAAAGCGTATTAAGATTAACTGGACCGACGAGAGACAGTTAAAAAAAGAAAAATAGCTTTTAAAGCGAAAAAAAGGCAAAGAGCAATTATTTTTTAAGCGTCGCTCTTTTATAACTTTTTTTATAAAATAAAGCGACATTTTTTATATAAAGTAACAACTATAAAAAAACAAATGTTCTTCGATTTATCAAAGAGTATATATATATTTATTTATATACTTATGTCTTATTCCCAGTGCTGGATTGAGGAGGTGGGGTGGGGGTAGTAGGGCTATAGCCCCAGGACTCACAATGTTAGGGGAAATAGTCAAGAGGACCATTCGGTATTTTTTTAAGTCATTTTTACGCTGTGGCACATAAAAAAGGCCGCCAAAATAATGCAGCCCCCGGCGCTGAAAAGACCAACAAGATTCAACCAGATGATTTATTTATAAATAAAAGTTTTTTCAATAACTGCTTCGCGTAGTTTAAAAAGTTTAACACATTTGAAACAATTCTTCTTAATAAGATGAACAAATGAAATAATTAAATGATTGAGTTACTGTAGAAACTTTTAACTAGCATTTAAAACAGAAAAAAGTAACTTTAAGTATAACGAGTTTGTAAGAATGGCTGAAGCAAAAATAATTGAAGTTAGTAAACCAATTTCTAAGAACTTAAAAACTTTTCTTTCTTGGGGGAAAGAATCAGTTATCAGTACACTGAGGAAAATGGATTAGTGGTTAAAATTATTTGTATTAACTTTGACGATTATTAATAACTTCATTGAAAACGCAGTTATTATTGAAAGTATTTTTGTTTACAAAATCAATAGCACAAATTGCTTTAAAAGATTACATTTGAATAAAATACACATAGATAAAATTACATAAATAAAAATACATTACATACATAAAAATACATCCCTTATATATAAAAAATAAGAATATACTAATAAAATCTAAAATATATTTACAAAACGTTGACGTAAAAAGTTAAAAAATATAAATTTAAAACATTTATTATTGTAAACAAATAATGTTAGTTTAAAACATTTATAGCTTTGCAGATGTGGCTCCAAGAACTAAAATAATAGTTTGTTTGATAGTATACTCTTAAAATAATTTATGCTAGAAATTTCAACAAAAACAAAATTTAAATAATACTGTTTTTTAAAATATTTCAACAGAATACTCAGGACATTCGGATAGTTTTTTTTGAATACTCTAGAAACTTCGGTTAGTATTTTTTGAACCAATAGAATTAGTTGTTTGTAGATTTGGCGGGTTTTTTATGTTTGCGAATATTCTTTTTTTATTTTTCCGCACTTAGATGTTTGAGAACATATGTGTCCATGTAAGTCCGTAAAACAAAACATTTTAAAATTTACGACAAAATGAACTTATTATTTTGTGGACAAACAAGAAAACATACATAAACTTAAATGTTCTCAAAACGACTAAAAAATCTGGGCGGTTTTTCGCAACTAAATATTATTTCCGTGGTCAGTTATCGAGAGCGATCGCACCCGCTTCCCGACCAAGCCTGATACTGCTTATATTTAAATGAAATTCAACTAAACATAGCTTCTTTTGAAAAATGGAAACTAACCCAAAAAACAAATATGGTTTTATTGGTTATTTTTATCACATGATTTTTTTTTTAAACTGTTTAATTAAAACAGGGTTAAAAAAAACTGTGTTTTTTTAACCCTGCTTGAATAATAAATTGTTCACATTAAACATTTAAGTTCATATTTTATTTATACAAATGTTGTAAATATAACTTTTAAAAATAATGAAAACAATGTATAACAAAAAAAAAAAATTTATATAAATTTTGATACCAACATAGGTATCGAAAAAAGCCAAATGATATGATGATTTTTAAAAAGTAATTTTAGAAAGTAAAAAAAAATATATATATATATATATAATTAAAAACACCCTTGAAAAAATAATTTTTTTAAAATTGAGCTAAAACTATTTTATTTATTAAAACCTTTTTTTGAATTAAAAAACATATGATATTTCGGAAACAAAATTAATTTGCTTTTTTGAAACATTCAAAAAAGAAAATTTTTTACTATTATAAAGATATTTCAAAAATGTAAGATCATAGAAGTACAGTAAAATAATTGATGTAAAATGTTAAAAATATTATCTTAATATTAATTTTTTGCAATAAAAATAGCTTGACATTCCAAATATATCAAAGGCTTTAAATATATCAAGAGCAATGAGCAACGTCAAGAGCTTTAGCCACACCATATCCATCTGAGACACTTTTTAAATTTTTGTATTTTTTGAAAACATTTATGAAAATAGTGAGAAAACTGATTAAACAATAATTAAAAGGCAAACTAATCTTGAGACATTTTATAGGAACTAACATTTTTCATTTTTGCCATTTTTCAGCAAATAAGAAAATAAGATTCAGTTAAGTATTTATTAAATAGCTTATAGAACTAATACAGAAAGTTTTAGAGAACACTTTAGCAAGATGATGAAGATTTGGTTATTAATTAGTCATATATTTGCGAATGATGGCTATGTAGAAGTTAAACCTTGCATTTTTAGTAATTTATACAACTTTTAAACAGAATTGATTCAGTTTAAAGAAATGAAAAACAAAAGTTTAAGTTAAAAATTGAGTGCATGTAAAAAATTATACTCTGGAATGGAACAATCTAACCACTATACGACAACACAACTTTTGACTTTTTTATAATTTGTTTTTTAATTGTTTATTATGTAATAAATATTATGGAAAACAAATAAATAATCAAAATCCATAAAGTAAATTATATTTTCAAACTATATGAAATCATTAAATTATTATTAGGAATTAAAAAAGTGTACCTTTTCAAATTTGATTGAACCAAGTATTTTAGATATGGCTACCTTAGGCTTATGTTCAGAACAAAGATTAAGTAATGCCTCTCTTGATGAAGTCATTTTAATTTATAACCTAAGACAGATAATTTGCATATATAAAATAATAATGTAAATATTAAAACAATTAACTACTTCATGAAATTTTAAAAAAAAATGCAGGAATATGAAGATACTTTACTAAACATATCTGTTAACGACAGAAATATTTTTTATATGCCAATATCATTATAAATTTTCAAATAACAGTGATAAAAAATATATATACAACAGACAGTAATTTAAGATAATAAAACTGTCAACAATCATATTTCATCGCTAAAAGAAGAGTGACTATTATTTAGACAAATGGTCTAGGTCAAATAATGGTAATAGTGTAATGGAGAAGAGTGACCATTGATATTAATAAATAATGGAAGAAAAAGTAAAAAAGAATAAAATTAATTCATATTAAAAACTTTAAAAATAAAAAAAATCATAACAATTTATTTAAAATAATAAATAGAAACAACAAAATGAAATGAAAAATAAAGTAATTTTTACAGGGTGTCTGCCAATATTTTAAGGTGGATTTCCCTGACTTTTCCCTGATCTTTTGCCTGTTTCCCCCGATTTAATTTAAAGTTACCCAAACTCAACTTCACAAAAATTGACCTAGATTCGTTTAGAAAAGTGCTCTTCAACTGCAAAAACATAAACAATACAACCCACATTAAATGTATCAAGTGAAGTTTATAAAACTATCTACAAAATAAACTTTTATAATACCTGTACCATATACAACTTAATTAAATTATGTAAATTTTTCCTGATTTCTCCCTGATTTTTCTAAAATTTAACCTAATTTCCCAATAATCCCCTGATTTTTTAGCAGTTATCTGAATTCCTTGACTTTTCCTTGATCTGGCAGACACCCTGTTATAATCCATTTTTAAGACGTACGTTATGCCATAGAATAGAGTTAGGGGTAATTGATTTTGTAAATATTATTAAATGTTTTAAATGGTTTTGAATTTGGTCTTTGTTAAAGGTTTGTGCAACGAAAGCACCTCTATTTAAATTATTTAAATATAAATTATGAGTTTTATCTACTTTGTAAAAGTTATTATAAACTAGCCATTGTATAATAGAGGCATATTGTCATTGAAACGTCAGTCTATAAAGAGAATTATAAATTATAAAAAGTTTAACAAAACTAAATTATAAGAAATAAGCAAATTTTTTTTAATTTTTCGCGCAATTTGTTATTTTAACGGTTGATGGTTCCCGACTTTACATACTGTAAGTATGTAAAATCATGGTCATAAGTAATATATATTCTTATGACGGTAGTCGGTAAAATGCGAACTGCGAACCGCGAACTGCGAACCGGTAAAATTTCGACGTTATATTTAATGACCACTACGGTTATGATATTTAAAAAAAGTTTGTCAATTTTTTAATTTAAATTAAATATAGTGTAATTTGATATATTTTATTTAAATTAGATTGTATTTCTTTTAAATTAAATATAATTTATGTTTCTGCTTGAATTCCATAAAATATATAGTAAAATAAACAATTTAACGGTAAATGGAAAATAAAAAATATTGCATCATTAACAACAAACTATGGTTCGCAAAAAAGTTCGGATTTTACCAGTTCGTGGTTCGCAGTTCGCATTTTACCGACTACCTCTTACGACAAGTAGGGTAATTTGGCGAATTTCGGGCAGCATCCAATTTCGTGCAAACAGCCTTTCCCATCAAAAAAGTCACACTGATGGTAATTTAATCAAAGTGTTGTTTTACGTTTCAGTTAGTACAACCTTTCCGCATTAAGTTACTGCTAACCTCATGTCAGTAGTTCAAATATTTATATTAAAAAAGCTATAATAAGTTACGAAACATCGGTTTTTCACGTAAAGTAAAAAAACGTAAATCTTTTTACACTTAACTTTTACACTTAAATGTACAAAAATGAAGCACGACATTTCTTTACTAATCGTTCACCCAAGTTTAACAAATATGTTTGGAAAGGTAAAAAAAAATAACAATAATAATAAACGAATACTTTTTGATATAAAAAATTTCTGCACGAATTATCTAAAGCATCATATTTCGTGAATTATACCCAAAATTTAATTTCTCCGTCTCGGAGAAATTTGGCGGAAACTCGGCGTTTTTTCGCAGAAAAAAACAAAACAAAAACTAAAAAAGCTCCTCAAATTTAAATTTGGGCGGCGCTTAAACTTTGGTCGACGCTGTCGAAAACGGTCTAGAATAGCCCATGACTGTTCAATGGCTTTTCTTCAATTTGATTAAAGGTAAAGTTTGTTTGAATTCCATATTCAATACTTTTATGCTTTAACGCATTACTTAATTGAAATTGAGTGTTATCATCACAATATACTTTCCTATATTAGTTTATAAAAACCCGTTGAAAACTTTCTACACCAAAATCAAACAAAAAAATATGTTGTTTTAAACAAAGAATGACCATATTAAGTTTTGCTTGTTAGGTTGACATTCTTTCATTGACACTTTATTTTTATCATTTGCTGAGATTTATTAATTATATCGTTGTTTATTGTAATATGCCTGAAGTTTGCTATTTTGGGATTTTAAAAATATTCCTTATTTAAGGCTCAATATATATATTATTTATAATATATATATTTAATATTTTTTTTATTTAAAAGTTTATTTACTTTAATTCTATTTTTTATTTGATTTGAAACCTGTTTCATTTTTTTTCATTATTTGACAAAAAGTTTATTGTAATAAAGTAATAAAGTTTATTATTAAAAATATGAAAATATTCATAAATGGTTTTTATAAATTTATACAAATCGTTACAGTGTCTATTTTAATTTTCAGATATTTTAAAAAGTAAGCCATTAAAGCATGTGTTTTAAAACAAATTTTAATTAAATAAAAAAATTGAATTTTAAACAAATTTTAATTAAATTTGTCGTTTTCATTTTCAAATATAAATCTCCAATTTTTTTGCAGACCAACCCATTTTAACAACCGCAAATTTTTTGTCGATTTAATATTATTGTTGATGTAAAAGATAAATTTATATGATAATGTTTTGTGCGTTATTTGGCATAAATACATTGACTGGCAATAGGAATATTAAGAACTAAATGTAAATACATCGACTGAGGATAAGAGTTCGGTCAGGGTTTTAGTCATGAATTTATAAAAGTCATTAAAGACAATTAACCTATTATTTCGTTAAAAAGTGTTTAGTTTTTCCGCTTTAAACGGACGGAAGAAGAAAGCAGTGGTAGGGGACCTCATCTATCACTATAAGCCACTGTACGTCCAAGACTGGTGCTAATGGTGTGTTATATCCTTTTAACCTCTATCAATGAATTTTATTTCATGATGTCTGCTATGATGTCTGAAAATTAAGCTCTTTTAGATCTGTAAATCGGCATATGTAAATCATATAGTACAGTCCGCAAGTGTAAAAAGCGAGGACTTTTTTTTTAGACAAAAAAATATTTATTAATAAAATAATTATCAATAAAATATCAATAAAAATCCTGGATCCTCCCCTGATCGTATATATCCTACAGTTACTCACAAACGCACACCGTTATCTACACTCAAAAACTTTTATTCTATTTTGATTTTCTTCAATTTTTAGTTCTCAAGAGCGCGGGTCTTTTAAAATGAGATACCTGTGTTTAAAAGTGTTTAAAATGAGGTACCTGTGTTTAAAAGTGTTTAAAATGAGATACCTGTGTTTAAAAGTGTTTAAAATGAGATACCTGTGTTTAAAAGTGTTTAAAATGAGATACCTGTGTTTAAAAGTGTTTAAAATGAGATACCTGTGTTTAAAAGTGTTTAAAATGAGATACCTGTGTTTAAAAGTGTTTAAAATGAGATACCTGTGTTTAAAAGTGTTTAAAATCAGATACCTGTGGCATACTGATTTGATAGTTTTTTGTTTCATAGGATTCAAGGGTCAAGTGTTTTGTTCATTGGATTGCGTCTACTTTATTGAGAAAATGTTCCAACTTTAATTATAACTTAGGTGAACATACATTAAATTGGTCATCTTATTACCAGAGTTACGTCATTTTGACATAACTCTGGAGTCTCACCTTAACTATAAAAATACATTTTAAACGTTATCCATGCTGCTAATACCCATAAAATCCTGGTATCTTAATAAGGGGTTGTCCATTAATTACGCCAACAATTTTCTGGCTATTTTTACCTCACCCTCTCTACCTCCCCTTTATTACCTCACCCCCTCTACCTCCCCTTGTCTACAACTTTTTTTAGAGACCCCCCCCCCCCACTTTCTGAAGGTAATAAAAAAAGGAAAAAAAGTTCCAAATGCTCCAATGTAGCTACGCCACGGATATACATACATATCAGCATTTTCTATCCACTTTAAATCCTTTTTCAAGGCTTTTTTTTTTTTTTAATTTAAAATCTTTTGTCAGAAGTTGCTGATTTCTGTGAGGGAGAGTCTAATATAGACCCATTTTGTATTTAAAATTATATGTTTTTTGTTTTAAATTTATTGCTGCGTATCTCAATAATTTATATCTCAATAAAGTTGCAATATTTATGCATTTTATTGTTATATTGAGAACTCTTTATATATTTTATGTATTATAAAAGTGCTTAAGATTTTCTCTGATAAGTTAAAAACTTGTTACTTTGCTTGTTACTTGAGTTATAAATTTGTTCTAGGGTGCGGTTAGCTTCGTTATCAATTTTCTCTAGCCTACCCTCACATTAGACCCTTAAAAAATATTTGGGGAGGGGGTGCTTTTTGAAAATGAGACATTTTATATGACTTTTATGATCAAAGTATATGCACAGATCTATAAATGTTAAACAGATCTATATTTTATTCCAAAAGCAAGGTTTCGTTTTTACTACAATAAAGCCCATAAGTTTTTGTTTGATATCTTCTGAACATTTACGGACACTGAATTTATCTTCATCGCTTCTAACTTATCAATTTTATTGTTATGTGTAACATAAACTCAAATAAATGAATCCACGCATGCAAAGTAGATAAACCAAAATCATAATGGTCTTTTTAACAACTAAGTATTTCAGTTCACCGTT